TAAACTATTTGGGTACTTCCAAGTAAATTGCCACTCTTTCATTCATTTTTATCAAATCTCTTTTTGTGGTTTTTAAGATCACTAGTCACTGAAGTGTGTTAATTGAAAGTTCTGTAGCCTAATATATTATGCCATAAACTGTAATTTTAATGCTCCCACCATTTAGTATCATTCAGCATAATACGACTCTAGACAAAGTTTGCAGATTTAAGAAAATAAATATCATGATCTGATTTTGATGGGCCTATCCTACCTGAGTTTGCGATATTGGCTCTAATATTGTTTAGTCGTTTGCAAATCCATAGCTATAGTGAAATTAAGTTGAGTGACTAATAAACGTTTTGACATGTCCTCTTCCGAGATTTGGTGACTCGTCTGCCTAGTGTGCTTACACTAGGTGCACGGATAGAACTGGTCGGATATGGCAACTTTTGGGGGGGCACTATTTGCCAAAGGCCTTTTCGTGAACAGGACTGTTGTTAATTTACGCAACAAACGAGCCTAAACGTGGTAGAGTTCTAAACAGTTAGGACCTTGAATATAACATTTAAAGGGTGTTATATATATAAAACCCTACCTCTGTTTTTTCAGCGTGCCGAGAGTTTGGCGCGGTTTCACCTAACTTAACTTTCGGACCAAGTGCCTCGTATTTAACAAAAGAATCTTCTGGTATATTTGTCCCGTAAGAAGTAGAAAAGAGTTGTGTATTTCAAATGGGTGCTGCGTTTCGCCAGGTTTCACGAAGGTCAAGTTAGGGTTGTTCGGTGTCGGTTTTTTCAGACCAGTTTTCGGTGAAGAACCGATTTTTCACTGAAATATCAGTTTACGGTATTAAACCGGTAACGTAAAACGAACCGGTATTCTTAAGTTAACTGGCATTGAAAAACAAACCGGTATTTTCCAAAATACCGATTTCTAGCATTTTAAAAGGGTATTTCAAAAATACGTTCTTTAAAATGTGACAAAAGGCAAGAAATGGCAAGGGAAAGCGGAACAGTGCAGAAAATTCACACTTAAATTCCTAATAATTTAAATATAGAGCTGTGCAATCGAGCGCAATTATACAATCTGCGTACACATTTTGGTTGAGACGTGGCCCCCTCGGGCTTAGTAAATTGTGTGTTCGGCCTATCGCCCTAAAAAAATCTCAATGCATAAGTGAATGCGAGCGAATGCAAGTAATGCATCAGCTACAGAGGTCACTCGCACAGCCGCCCTTCTCAAGGCTGAGCTGAGCTAAGCTCTCCTTTCACTCTACTGGCCTGTCCCAACTCATCGCCACCATACACTGCTGGCGATGACTTTGACATGTTTTTTGCTTATTATCCAACAGCTTTGAAATGAAATAACACTTAAAGCACTCTGGCTTTGTCCCTTAGACGGCCAGGTAGCGGATTCGGTGAACCTTCTCAAAGCAGCTCCGGCCTCCAGAAAAACACCGTGCTGCGCAGCTTTGCGAGTGGCCAATTATGGCAAAAGTGCTAATTTAACTCTTTGCTGTTCCAGATCCTGTGAAAAATCTGAGGGGATTACTTGACCATGTGATGCATTTGCTTCGTATGTGACAAATGCACCCGGAGATTCGTGTTATAAAATCGGAAGGTAGGCGTCGCCGTCTCGTCACAAATCACTTTGGATACATGCCTTTTTGTTTTGCTGCATACTTTTGCTTGTACAGGCGGTAAGTCTTCGCATGTGCTACAGCAATATTGTGCATGCAGTCGTAAAATTTGTCGCGTTCTTCAACCGGAACCAGGTCGGGCAACAGGGAGCGAAAGTAGTTGCAATATATGTTAGGCTCATTAATAGTGTTCCAGTACTTAACCTGTAAATAGTTGATGATTAAATGTCTGAAAACAGTCCTAGTAAAGCACACATTGACTGTACTCTTCTAAATCTAAATGAATAGAGGCCCGCGCAGCCAACTTAACAAGCACTGTTGGTAAATTCCACGGTAAATGTATACGGTACGGCACACCACGTAAAAGAGTGATTTTAGCGGTTAGAAGAACAAGAAGAAGTTCCAAGATGGCCGCCACGGACCACAACAAACATTCAACTGTTTTCCTGAAGCAGCCTCCCGCGCTCAACGTTATATTGCTCCTATTTGAGTCAAATTTGGTATCAGTTTGATCGGAAAAAAGAGGGGAACACATAAAAAAGCATTTGAACATACGTGACGAATTTTTCAGGTTCGTTAATAAGATATGGTGTTAATTTGTTGAAATTGTGAACATGATCTATTATTTTCATAGATTAACACTAAATAGCATGCTTAAAGGTCCGATATCGTTTTCATCGTGTTCATCACGTTTTTCTAATTCTAACAAACTCAAGTTTGACTCTACAGGCGCGATATAACATTAGGTAGGTTATTGGGGCTCCCGAGTGTTATGTATTTAACACTCATGTATTTGATGAGGAAAAGTACGTTATTTTTATGTTCGTGTCTGTGCAATATCAGTCATGAAATGCGCGAATGTTACCATTAGCGTTAAGTTTTCGGTTACACCTGAAACTTTATGAACACAACCTTTTGAAAATCGTTACTTAACGTAAGTTAACATTTCATTTTTAAATTTTTAAAAAATGTGCTACTAACAAGTGATGTGATGTATGTTATGTCAAGTTACGGGCCCCTGATCCTAACCTATCTCTCGGACTTAACTGACTGAGTATACTTTAACTATTCTGTCTGAGAGACATCGACCGTCTAGGTAGGGTTCCCCAGTGACCTATGTGAGAAAGGAGTAGACAAAACTTCAGCCAATCTGGAGAGTTGCCACGAGCTGCCGTTCTCAATTAAGGTTACTCTTTTAAAATTAGCCGGAGATTTCATGGGTGGCAACCAGGGTAAAGTCAACCATACATTTCGTGAAGCTTATGGCCTCTGTCACGAGACGCGGAACAGCATACACATATCTAAGTCAACAACATTACTTTTTACAATAGAACGTCTCACAAACCTTGTCTCCGAAAGTTCTAAACAAGAAGTCCGCATAGTCGACGTATTTGTCAATCATTTCCGAATGGCCCCAGCCACCTGTAGCATTTTCCACCAGAATCGGCTGGTCGAAATGAAGCATGGTGACCTGCCGACCAACAAGTCCAAGTGAATCTTTACGATAAACAAAAGGTCGTCGCCCTCGTGCAATAACAGGCTTTGTGTTTCGAGATGCCTGGACAACATTCTAGCTGTTTCCCGATGCCGGAAGACTTTACTTTCTGTTTCGCTATGCAGAAAGACTTTTCTCTTTTATGTTTGACGCTCTCTGTTTCGCTTATTTCTTTAAATTTATAAGTTCGTCAATATTGGTTGCAGAGAAGAAAAGATATGTTTATTCTTTCGCTTATGCTATTATTTAAGAAATTATCACTAGAGGACAGCGCTGTGGAACGTAGAAAGTGTCGAAAAACTGACATGATTATCTTTTGGCATAGCAAAACGTATCGATCGATAGTATGTTAATTAGGCATCGCAAAAACATAGTCTGTTCCAGCACGGGAGCGACGGCTTTGAATAACAGCAATCAGTAAGTAGTGAAGGATACCTATGCTTTGTAATAGTTAAACACTGGACAAAGAAAGGGGCTTGGGTGGTTGGATTTTTTTTCACAGAATCCTCCAAATGCTCAAGCATATATGACCGCGCTCGTACAAATGTGCTCGGCTCCAAATTACTATTTTGTATGATGATTCGAAATGTGTGCACTACAACTCCGTTGTCTTTCAGGATGTCGTATAATCGTATCTTTTTCATAATTATGGGATTTGGGATCCTGGTGTGGTACAACTTGATGTATAGGGTGTCCCGGCTCTTACATGCCAGTATGGCGGGTTGCATAAGCAACGGCTCGCAGGGGCTGTCGGGAGCACGCAGGATTTCGCGCATCCCCGCGCAACCGCGAGCCTCCCCGTGGAACCCGGGGATGCACAGTTAAAGTCTTACGAAGCAAAATGCCAAATGCTTCGTACCTACGAAGGATTTTCTCCCTACGAAGCGTCCAAATCCTTCGTATTACAAAGGATTTGGCATTTTTCTTCGTAAGACTTTAACAGTGTGCGCGAAATCCTGCGCGTTCCCGACAGCGCCTGCGAGCCAGCGCGTATATAACCCGCCTTACTGGCATGTAAAAGCCGGGACACCCGGCATGAAACTTGTACACAATGTCATGCAAAGTTCAAACTACACATCACCTGATCTCGAGCTTTTAGACATTTCGCAAGTGTATAGTTGAGTGTACACTTGGGACATCATCGCATTTCTACGCTTAGTTATGTGAAGCCTTACCCAAATGCATACTTAAAAACAGCACGAAATGCTTCAATGTTAACATTCATGATGCATATACGTTAAACACGTTGTCATACATGGAAGTGCAAACTAAACACTTATGATGTACGTCACTATTCAGTTGTTCTAGCAGTGTTTCCACCTCTCAGGGGGCAGACCTGTGAATTGGAGGGTTTGGAAAAATCGTCACCACATAAACCGTACACGCCGCATCGATAGGACTAAATGTGTATTAAAAGCATAGATGAACGCTGATTTTGCCTTAGCGCTGATGCGCGCACTCTCCAGGAACATGGCCAACTTCGCCTCCAACTGGACGATGCAGTTCTTTTCGGTGTGCACGATTGTGCTGAAACGGATGGATCTGCGACTGTTGCAAAATTTGCTGAATAATCTTAAAGGGTGCCGCTAGTGGTTGACCTGGGGGTCTTGCAAATTTCGAAATGGAAATACTAAAAAAAATCACGTTGCTGAAATACGAAAAAAAATGTTGTTGTCTTTCTGTCCATTTTCGTGCTTTGTGATTTTTTTTCGAGTACTTCCGTTTTGAAATTTGCAACATGCCCATGTTAACCACTAGCGGCATCTTTTAATAGTAAATAGCAACTCTTTATTACAGTCGCAGACCCATCCGTTGCGCTAACCGGCTCCAACGGTGAAATTATCGTCCATCTCTATGGTCTTAATACACCTTGAGTCGTAAATCCGAGCAGCGTGTAGTTTTTATGTAGTGACGATTCTTGCACACCGTTACATTTCACCAGGGTATGGCAACGCCCTAGGGTCGGGGCGGACCTATCCTTTGACCACGGTGAAGAGGGGGTAGGGCGCATTTAAACTAAGATTTCTCTGCGAAGGACTGATCGTTCAGAACGATCGAGGTGTCTAAACACAACGTTTTTCCTTGCAGATTCGATATTTTACATGTACGAGTTATAAGAAACAGCCGTTTGTTCGATTTCGACGGATTAAAATCACCCTGAAGACGACTTCGGGCCGCAGCGTCTCCGGTGGGCTGACTTGCAGTTCGCTATTCTCTGGAAATACTCTACTCACCTCGACATCGGGGTAGTATTACAAGAGTTTAGACCTTGTAGATTCGTAATAACAATACGAGGTCGACGAAATATGAACCGCAAGTTATTTTAGTTGATTTAAATGAACGAAGTGCAGGAGAACGGGATTTTTGGCCTAGCCTCGCTACAGGGTGCCTCTCCCCTCGTAGCGTAAATAATCCGTAAATTCACTTTGGCTCAGCCCCACCCGAGACTCTCGAAGCGTTGTGAGACGATCTCCGCAACACTAAAACCTCTAAAGACGTGTGAATTTTGATTATTTGGGCTTTTGATCTTTTGTTTCGAATGATCAAAGTCGCGAGGTGGTGGGAGGCACCCGGTAGCGAGGCTAGGCCAAGAATCCCGTTCTCCTGCACTTCGTTCATTTAAATCAACTAAAATAACTTGCGGTTCATATTTCGTCGACCTCGTATTGTTATTACGAATCTACAAAGTCTAAACTCTTGTAATATTACCCCGATGTCGAGGTGAGTAGAGTATTTCCAGAGAATAGCGAACTGTAAGTCAGCCCACCGGAGACGCTGCGGCCCGAAGTCGTCTTCAGGGTGATTTTAATCCGTCGAAATCGAACAAACGGCTGTTTCTTATAACTCGTACATGTAAAATATCGAATCTGCAAGGAAAAACGTTGTGTTTAGACACCTCGATCGTTCTGAACGATCAGTCCTTCGCAGAGAAATCTTATTTTAAATGCGCCCTACCCCCTCCTCGCCGTGGTCAAAGGATAGGTCCACCCCGACCCTACCCCGATTTCACAGGGTGTGCTCCCTTAAAATATCCTTTGCGTCAATTTAGCTGCAATGCAAATAACCCGGGTGGGAGGATCTAATGCTAAACTGTAGACAAAACTACGGTTTATACTCGTCCTGTCAATCTAAAGTTAACGTGCAGTTAAACTAAAGTTTTAAACCAGTTTGCAGGCCCAACGCGAAATCCATATACTTTTCTTCAGTTTAACTACAGTTAACTGCAGTAAAAATGTACTTAAACAGTTTACGAAAGAACCAATCACTATTGTGTATTCCTCCCCCCCGGATCCAAGCCTAGCGCACAGAGAGCTAAACTGCGCCTGGACATCGTTAAGTACGGAAGGTACTGGACTGAAAATTAAATATCCTAATTGGAATCAGTTTTAGCTATGTACCTGTATTCGTTATAAAGCCTAGCATTTTATTTAAAAGTAAAGTATTGAAAGTAAAGGAGCTTACAAAAAATGAATATCCACTGCGATCAAAGATAATACACGGTCTAACTGTGCGCGTATAGAAAATAAGGAAACCAGGACCGGAAACAGTTCTGAAATCACAGCTAAAGCTAGTAAAAATGAATAAAGCCCATAACCAGGGGGTACTGGAATCAATTTCCACAAAAAATCATAAGAATCGATCTTGAAAGCAGATAATACAAATTTATGAATATGGCTCTGTTCTTATTTTCCCTTATTAGCTGAATTTGTTTGGTTGCTTGCAGCCTTGCAACTTGGTGGCCTAAAGGCGTAGAGGAAGACATTTGAGGAGGGAGGGGCGGCCGGCAGCCCTGTTGTATTGTTGTGCCAGGGGCCTATCCCGCGCAGTATTGTTAGGCAGAGCAAGGAAGGGACCTGCTGGCTGGCTTGACACTCACTCACTCAGACACCATTTCGCATCGCTCAAAAATATGATTTCTAGTTTTGCTCTTAGTTCTGTTTCCTGCTTATCGAGAGTTAAAGCTAGCCCTGATGAGCCGATGGACAGTCCGTGGAATGGTCCGCATATGTCCGTGGCTGTCCTTGTGCAGTCCCCAACTATCCGTGGCTGTCCTTGTGCAGTCCCCAACTGCCCACCGTGTCTATTGTGTCCATCAGTCAGTCCGAGGACCAGTCCATGACCTGTCCTCGGTTCAGTCTGCATTCATAACTACAGTCCGTCGTTTGAAACGTCCATGGCATGTGTCCGCAGCTGTCCACCACGGCTCGTCTGTCCATATATCTGTCCGTTACCTATGACCACCAAATGTCTACGGACCGTTCCACCGGACTGGTTCGTAGGACTGTCCGCTAGTTGTCCATCGACATGTCCATTGCCTTGCACATCATGACGTTCGTGCCATGTCCGCCGACATGTCCACGAGTTGTCCATCGACTCTTCTCTAATTTTACGCACCAAACAGTTGCATACCGTCATAGTATACCCACGGACACTTGTGGACACTTGCGGACTGAGATGAGTTCAACCAGTCGAACACTAGATGGCGCTTCGGAATTTTGACACATCAAAGTTTTTAATAAGTCATTTGTACATGAATAAGTCTTTTTAACTAGTACATTTGATAATCTGTGGGTGAAGAAAGGGGTACTTAGGCTGTTCACACTTGCCCATTATCTAGTCAACCCTTATATTGTTTGTCATATGACGTATTGCACCAACTCGCGGTGGTCATATACAACCTCTTCAGACTAAGACCCTCTGCCCGCCCACCCTCTATCCGGTTCGCCCGGAGTCCTCCATCGTCACCAGAGTGCGGGAGGGCGGCAATTTTTGAACCAAAGATCGTGATGTCATCACGGTCACTCAATGTTATCTCTTAAACGCAACAGATATCTATGGGATTTCCTTCAAACATCCCGGACAGCTCAGGACTGTAACGCGGACAAATCTCGTGGACTGGATTACGGACTATTGCGGACAGATCCACGGATAGATAGGATCTCAGATGACTGCGGACGTGCCACGGACACGATCGCGGACAGCATATTTCATCGAAATTTCCTTTAACCATCCCGGACAGCTACAGCTACACGGACATTCATCGTGGACCGTTTTGCGGACTATGGCGGACACGGCTAGGATCTCGGGTGACTGCGGACAGCTGCGGGCAATTCCACGGACGTTTCAATCCACGGACTGGGGTCACGGACAACTCATGGACATACCAGTGGACATGTCCTCAAATTGTCCTCATGCTGTCCGTAGCCGCTGTCCGTGAGCCCTGTCCGTCGGCTCATCAGGGTAGCTGATACCTTAAAGTTACTTTTGTATTCTTTATATTTAGTGAAAGTATTTAAGGTATCATCTGCTAAAAAGCACTGTTCATTACTTTTTATGAATCAATTATTTTTACTGATTCAGGTACTGATTTCTTTATTTCTTCTCTAAATGCGCTCTTGTAGATGCGTTTACTATGAATTTTAAGAATATTGACCTATTATATAATAATATATATCAAACGAGTGAACAAAAAATCGGTTCAGACTTACCATGGGCTCCATGTTGTTGCTTATTACTTTATCAATATAGTCTTTGTAGAACTGAACGCCCTTCTCATTAACATTGTCCACACCCCCAGTTGGAAGAACACGGGTCCATGCTATAGAAAAGCGGTGCGATGTAAACTGTAATGTGAAAGAATAAAACAGTTCAGAACCTGCGACACAGCGTGCGTAAGAAACGACGTCAATAATTTCGATATTTTGAAAAAACACAATCATTTTCGACAAATCGACTTTGAAGTGCTGCCCCCCCCCCTTCCAGTGCTTAGTACGAGTTTTTTTTTTTTTTTTAAACGGACCCGTTTCTGCTAGACAGGGGGAGGAGTGACATGGTTCAATACCACCCGTTGAGCAGCTCCACACCCACGCCCGAGTACCAGAGCAACAATAGACACATTGCTCTCTGCCCCCCGAGCGCGCTGCCCAGCGCCCACGCCAAAAATTGTGTTCAATTATAAAAGTAATGATTAATAGGCTAATTCACGAAAATATCACGCAAAAAGACACATTAAGAACATTCCATACAAGAAGGGCGACAAAATTTTCTTAACCAGGTCCGTTTCGCAGTTAACAAGAATTGTTATCGTTTTTTCCAACCACGAATTTCAAAGTTGTAAAATTACGCTAGAACTGAAACGTACCTTCATTTCTTTCGCAAGATCGAGATCCTCGCGAAATCTGTGGTAGTGATCGGCAGCCACACTAACGTTGTCCGTGAAAAGGCCGGGGAAATTCATAGCAAAGTCTATCATACTTTCACCTTTACCTGAAGTGTAGCGTAAACAGAAACATGTCATTATTTCTCGCTTACGTCTTGCTAACTCGGGGGAGCAGTCCCAAATTTTTGTAAAGAATTTTAAAGCGTTGTAAGAAAGTTTGCATTGCAGATTATTTCCTTTTCATTGCGAATTGCGAACAATTTACTTCTTGAGTTCCGAGAAACTACTTTGCTAGGTTACGGACTAATTCTTTGCTACGTCACAAACAAATTTCTTTGCAGCATGTTAATAGTTCGTCGACGCATCCTACGAACAAAGTTCGATCTTCCGGCCCGCCGTCTAGCACTGTGCGATCTCTGGGCGTGCTGTCCAACAATGTCCGATGTCCCAGCGTGTCGCTCCAATGAAGCTTGATGTCCTTTTCAGCTTTTATTTGCACCGTAGGCGTAGGCTTCAAACAAGAGTACCTTTGTTGATAATCCACTTAAAAGAAAACTAGCAGATTCTATGTAATCCTAAAAGATTACGCAACACATTGGGCCAATAATAAAATGCTACGATCTTAACGAATGAACGTACGAGGCGTCTAAACTTCCACCTCGCTCGGGAGATCGAACTTTGGTAGAGCGACACACCGGGCAGTGTTGGACGGATCGCCTGGAGATCGGACAGTGTTAAACGGTGCGCCGGGAGATCGGACTTTGTTCGTAGGATGCGTCGTAAGAATGTCTCAAATGTGTTATTGAATACACAGCATTTTATAATGCTGCAAATTTCATTGCAATGCAATGAACAGGAGATTGGTGTCTTGGTAATGGCATACAATCACGGCTCCACAGCTTCCAGAGGGGTGTTGTACATAACTGTATTTAGCTCATCAAGCAGTAGCTAGAAAGAATATATTGGGCGCTCTTGCGTGGTTTTCTTGACAATTAAATATATATGAGTGCACTCATGGCAATCCATAACCCTTCCAGCCTCGTTCAACGCTCTAATCAGGGGTCCGTAACTCAACGTAACGTACAACAATCTTTGTTATATAACGTAACGCAAGACGTTGGAAATTTCACGTTAAAGTTAGAGATTTTTACAGGGTGATTTAACGGTCGTTCGACACTGGTTAAAATAAGCTCGTTTCACTCCAAACTGCGTCTGAACATCCGCCGAACTTTTTGCTCTTCATGCAAACAAATCAGTAACTTAACAAAAAAAAAACACAAAAGAACTGGAGGTTTAAAAAGTTAGAAGGGGTGCTCGGATTAAATTGCTACTTGCAAAACTGAAATTCTCGACACCTCATACAATTTGATTGGACATCGGGAAAAGGTCGCACCACGACCACGCGACCAAAGTTTGGCACAGATCTCTTATGGGAAAATGCCCTTAAGAGTAACATTTTTGTAAAATGGGCTTATTATTGCAAAACATGTAGTCTTTGTTTTGAGAAATATACACGTCAAAACACAAAAAGTGAGGTGCCACACGTGTTGTTCCACTTAAGGGTCCGAGGCCAGGTAGGGCCTTAACTGAGCAAAATTCTACTAAACACGGCTAAAAAAGCCATAAATGGGCATGTCTCAGCTGGGTGGAACACCAAGTGTGGCACATCACTGAATGTGTTTGGACATGTAGATTGTCGTCAATAAATCAATTAAAATAACCGTGTTGTGTAGGTTCGTTGTAAAATAACCGAAAATAAGGTAAAATTATGTGTAAACGTGCGTAATTTCACGCGTAATCGCGTAATCATATGTAGTAGTAGACTTCTTACAAGAGTTGTTTCCCCCACGACTTGTACCCACAATGTTTCTTACCTTCTTCCCTACTTGCCCCTTCGGACTGGATAGCTGACAGCCCAGCTCCTAGGAGAAGTCCCCTCGGCCAGACGTCCTGTAGGTGGAATTTATAATTAGATTTCTATACCCAAGACCTATTTTAGTTGAAAAATGATGAAATGGGTAATGAATTTTTCCATTCGGTTTGCTTTCCCGTTTGCTAAGCGGCATAATTTTGCATCCAGCTTACCCCTGTCGTGATCAATGTTAAACTGAAAGTACCCTCAGCTCTAGACTAGCCAGATAAATCCAAGCAAAGCTGCATACCAACATTAATTGAACTCTGGGTCGTAAGCTCTGCATGTTACGCTCATAATGAAAACATATTTGCGACCGAAAGGCTTCAGCGTTATGGTGGTGCACCCGTTTGGCGTTCGGAAATATTTCGACCAAGGCAGGACTCTGAGATCATGTAGATTCAAAGTAGATTTTATGGATGGTGTCTTTAAGATGAAAACATGTCGTAGCGTTTCCGATCTGGTGACAAATTTTGTCGAAACTTATCGACAGGTTGTCCAGGTACTGTACATTGCTAACGAACAACAGGTTCGTAATGCAAACCAAAATTATTGGAGTTTACGAAGGATTTTGAAGCGTTCGATAACAAACTAGTTCTTCGTAAGCTTACAAACAAACAGTTCGTAATGCAAACCGATTGTTCCCGTCGAGAGCTGCGGCAAGCTGCGAACTCCGAGAGATAACACATGGAAGGGATCGGAACGGTGTAGGAGACACACTCGGTTGAGAAATTCTTGTTGGCTGAGCGATAGCGAAGCCTATTGCTCCAGTGATGATCAAAAAGTTTCGCGTCTGTTTGTTTGTCTGTCTGTTCGAGTAAAAATACTTTTTTCACATCTTTCTAAGAGGTAACTCGTCAATGTAGTAGTAAGGGCAATTTTTTTCCGTTTGGCTCTATCTCTAACCCTTTAGGCACCAGAGGGCGATTTCCACATGGAAATGATCACAAAACATTCAAATGTTTTTTCTCAGATATATGATGGTCTGCGGTGCGGTGGGGTAACTCGTCAACATAAAATCCCTAGGAGCAAACTTTGTGACTTTTGGGGCTGAAGGACTATTCACGACTGTGCCTTTAAACCGACTCGGGTGTCAGCACCGCAGACCCAGGTAGATGTATGCCAGGCGTCGCAGCTTAACAGTGCTTCGTGAGATATCGCGAAGCCAGCTACGCGAGACGTGGTCAGGCGTACATCTACCTATCAAGACGGATAGCACGGTCAATGTGTGCGTTC